CGAAAAGCCAAGGAGAATACATTTGCCACGGTGGGATCCACAGACTCATCATAGCCCACGTAACATGGTATTTCCTTCTCAGTCTCATCTCCAAGCAGAAGTGGCAAGTAGTCTCTGTATGTTACTACCTGGAAGGGAATACAGACTGAGTTAGAAGCTCATATACGCTCTTTCTAAAGGAAAAAACGATCACTTTCTAACATTATCAATAGGATTGGTCAAAAATTCTGCGTCAAAATGCAAGACATCAATGAAACAGCCAGGAAAGTTAAAGACAACAAGAAGGAAATTTTAAATATATGAGCCACAAAAACAATGCTAGCAAATGGCTTTGTTCTGTTACTAGGTGTGGATGGCAAAATTGTCCGTAATGATGCAGAAGAGGCAGAAGTCTTCAATAAATATTTCTGTTCTGTGTTTTGAAAGGAGCAGGAGGATGTATTCATAGCTTACAGTGATAATTAAATGTGGCGACGACACAGGAAAGGAAATAGAACACCAGGTTTGTGGTAGCTAGAGAGCTTCACAAGCTTCAAGCAAAAAGCCTCTCAGGAAAAAACCTTTCCTGGGGTTTTTATTATATTACTTGCTTTGTTTACAACACTTCTCATTGGTACAAATCTTGCGCATGAAGAAGACATGCAGTAGTCAATTACATAAAATAACAGCCCCATATCTTGTGCACGTGAAAGCCAGCTGCAAGGGAGAAAAACAGGCAAGCCAAAAAGTTTTCCCAAACACAGACGCTGGGACAAGGTCACTCCTGCCTCGTTGCTAAGGGAACAGTTTGCCGTTCTCGTGGGCAGACGGTTCGGGAGCAACACATTCCTACAATTAAATACTTTCTATTCCACTAGTAAGTAGGGAGTACGCTAAACAGCAACTGCTGAAGTTAAACATTTTAAATCTGCAGGACTGGAAAACTTTCCCCCAAGAGAATTAAAAGAATTGGCCGTGGAGCTCTCTGAGCCACTGAGTTTGATGCTCCAGAGGACCAGAGCAAAGCCAACGTGCTGATATTCAAAAGGGTGACTAGGAAGGCCCAGCTATCGGAGGGGCTTGGATAGTGCCTGTACCTTGTGTTGGCCTCTGCACAGGGCTGAACTTCACTCACAGACAGCATGGCTGAGATATGAACTTTCTTCCCCAGCTGGAGCAACTTAGCCTGTAACGCTCCCCAAGAGGATGCCTCGGTCAGAGATTAAAGTCCAGGACCTCCATGGTAGCATTCTCTGAAATGCTTCCAGCTCCATGATTGGGCCAGTTAGACAGGCAGAACTGCAGGCTCTCAGTGTGTGGCTGAGACAATGGTATAGGGAGGAGGGATTTAGGGTTTATTAGGAACTGGGAAAACTTTGGAGAATGGAGGAGCCTCTACAGGAAGGATGGACTCCACCCAAACCAAATCAGAACAGGATTACTGGCACGTAACATTAAAAAGTTCCTAGAGGAGTTTTTAAACTGAGAGCTGGGGGAAAGCCGAGGAGCACACAGTTCAGAGAGAGCCATCCCTTAGGGAGGATCTAGTAACAGGGATTCTCTAGGTCCTAGTAAAGAGGAGAGGATAGAAATTGATAAAGTACAGGCAGGAGCTGAAGAGAAACAGTTAAATGAAAAAGAGTCTCTTCAATAATTCATCCAAAATAATTAGAAATTTTAAAAGGGTTGGTTTTCAAATGCTAGAAGTCTAAATACTAAGATGGGTGAACTTGAGTGCCTGGTGTTAAATGACAACAGAGTCCTGTGGCACCTTTAAGAGTAACAGATATATTGGAGCATAAGCTTTTGTGGGTGAATACCCACTTCGTCAGACGCATGTTAAATGAGGATATTGATATAACAGGCATCACAGGAACATGTGGAACGATGATAATCAACGGGATAAGGTAATAACGGGATAAAATACATAGGAATGACAGAGTAGGTCATGCTGGTGGGGGAGTGGCAATTTATATGAAAGAAAGCATAGAGTCAAATATAGTAAAAACCTTAAATGAATCAAACTGCACTATAGAGTCTCTATGGACAGAAATTCCAAGCTTGAATAATAAGAGTAGAAATCTATTACTGACTACCTGACCAGAATGATGATGGTGACTGTGAAATGCTCAGGGAGATTAGAGAGGCTATAAAAATAGAAAACACCATAATAATGGGACATTTCAACTATCCCCATATTGACTGGGTACATGTCACGCAGGACAGGATGTAGGAATAAAGTTTTTTGATACCATCAATGACTGCTTCTTGGAGCAGCTACTCCTGGAACACACGAGGGGAGGGGCAATTCTTGATTTAGTCCTAAGTGCAGCACAGGATCTGGTTCAAGAGGTGAATATAGCTGAATCGCTCGGTAACAGTGACTATAATGAAATTAATTTTAATATCCTTGCGGGGGAGAAAATACAAAAGAAGCCCACCACAGCAGCATTTAATTCAGACCGGAGAACAACACAAAAACAAGAAAGCTAGTTAAACAGAAGTTAAAAGGAACAATCACAAGAGTGAAATGCCTGGAAGCGTCATGGAAACTTTTAAAAAACATCATAATAGAGGCTCAAATTAAATGTATATCCCACATTAAAAATAATAATAATAATAATAATAATAATAATTAATAAGAGGACCAAAAAGGATAGCTCAGTGATTTGAGCATTGAACTGCTAAACCCAGGGTTGTGAGTTCAATCCTTGAGGGGGCCATTTAGGGAACTGGGGTAAAAATCTGTCTGGGAATTGGTCCTGCTTTGAGCAGGGGTTTGGACTAGATGACCTCCTGAGGTCCCTTCCAACCTTGATATTCTATGACAAAAAATGCTACCATAGCTAAACAACACAGTAAAAGAGGCAGTTAGAGACCCAAAAAAGCATCCTTTACAAATTGGAAGTCAAATTCTACTGAGGAAAATAATGTAAAAAGGAGCATAAATTTTGGCAGATCAAGTGTAAAAGTATAATCAGACAGGCCAAAAGAGAATTTGCAGAGCAACTAGAAAAAGATTCAAAAACTAACAGAATTTTTTTTTAAGTATGTCAGAAGCAGGAAGCCTGCCAAACAATCAGTGGGGCCACTGAATGATCAAGGTGCTAAAGGAGCACTCAAGGAAGACTAGACCATTGTGTAAATGAATTTTTGCATCAGTCTTCACTGCAGAGGATGTGAGAGAGATTCCCACACCTGAGCCATTCTTTTTAGGTGACAAATCTAAGGAATTGTCCCTGTTTGAGGTGTTAATAGAGGAAGTTTTGGAACAAATTGATAAATTAAATAGTAATAAGTCACTAGGACCAAATGGTATTCACCCAAAAGTTCTGAAGGAACTCAAATTTGACATTGCAGAACTACTAAATGTGGCATGTAAACTATCAGTTAAATCAGCTTCTATACCAGATGACTGGGAGGAGAGCTAATGTGATGCCAATTTTTTTTAAAGGCTCCAGAGGTGATCCTGCCAATTACAGGCCAATAAGCCTCACTTCAGCACTAGCCAAACTGGTTGAACTATAGTAAGGAGCAGAATGATCAGATACAGAGATGAATATGATTTGTTGGGGAAAAGTCAACACTGCTTTTGTAAAGGGTAATCATGCCTCACCAATTTATTAGAATACTTTGAGGGGGTCAACAAACATGTGGAGAAGGGTGTTTCAATGGATATAGTGTACTTGGACTTTCAGAAAACCTTTGACAAGGTCCCTCACCAAAGGCTTTTAGGCAAAGTAAGCTGTCATAAGAGGGAAGGTCCTCTCATGGATCAATAATTGGTTAAAAGATAGGAAACAAAGCTTAAGAATAAATAGTCAGTTTTCAGAATGGAGAGCGGTAAATAGTGGTGTTGCCCAGAGGTCTGGGACCATGGTGAGCAACATATTCATAAATGATCTGGAAAAAGGGGTAAACGGGTGGCAAAGTTTGTAGGCAATACAAAATTACTCAAGATAGTTAAGTCCAAAGCAGAATGTGAAGAGTTACAAAGGGATCTCACAAAATTGGGTGACTGGGCAAATGTCTCTGGAAAACCCAGTTTGAACCAAGAAATGCAAACTACCTCAAGGGGTTGTCTTAGCAACTCACGTTAATCATCCCTCACTGTTTTTAATTCCTGGAGGCGCTGTGGTAACCACCCCCATGGAGTAGAACACAATCACACTGAAACTGTTCATGGATTGATCGCGTTGGTCCCCAAAGATACCGCATGCGGGTGCAATATCTGACACAGTAATTATTTCCATTTGTACAACACTAAGCCACTAAAACTGAGCTGTGACTGATAAGGCAGAGGGCCCCTGCAGCACAGAGGGTGCCTAACACATTTAGATCTGCAGGCTGCTGCACGCATAGCCCCAGTGGCTACAGGGCTGAGCAAGCTTGGTGTGTAGGAACCTGCACAGGCAATTCTGGAGGGGAAAATCATGTCTAAATCTGAGCAAGAAAGGTTTAATCAACAAGTGAATGGCAGCAAAAACGATATTGCAGCTAATACCTGGGTCATGGCACCTATGATTTTTCGGGCCTCCTGGTAGAGTTTCTCTCCATCCCAGTGTGGATTTAATTTTTTCAACTCGGTAGCCAAGCGATTGTGCTCCCGCACAAAGAGTGTGTGTAGAGCTGTAAGTCCCAGATTTTCAGTTACTCGTGCATCACCTAAAATATAAAAACACAGTATAATTGTATATTTTATTCAGCTGAGGAACTGTTTTTAATTTGCCATATTAGACTCCTGCATTGTAAGGTGAGCTGCTAGCAGTTCGCTGTAGGCACAACTGGTGGTGCTGTCTACAGTTAAGGTTGCCCAACATTTCCATGGTCATACCCTGTTTTCAGTGCCTTATAATTTTGCCAAACTTTAACCATTCAGGCTGAATTCCCCATGCCAGGTGTCTTCCCCTGGCTGATTGTTTTCCTGAAATTTTCAGCAAAATCAGTTTAGCTGTTTCTGAGAATGGGGCTACGGAATTAAAGTTATTTTGATCATGTTAAAATGTTCTTACAACTGTTTTGTTGAGGATCTCTAGCACCTCCATGCTGTGGAGCAGGGACTGGAAATTTGGTAGCGGGCTGGCCCTAGTGTAAGGGATGTAATTTTGCCATCCCCATAAAAACCACACAAATTTGGCCAAGCTACAAACCTCTGAAAAATCTCAGTTTGCGCATTCTCAGAGGAGATTTGTTAGGGGCAGGCAGAAAAAAATCTTCAAGGATTGTGTCTGCACTGAGCATGGTCCATCCCTTCACATGGTGAATGAACTGCACATGCACATTCCCACAGAGCAACTTCGCATGCTCCTGCCCAGGGCAGCTGGTGCCAAGCAGGATTTTTCCTGCAATTAATTCTCTTGGCTGCTGTGGGGCTGTGCATCAGAACTGGGAGCAGAGAGACTGTTTCTCTTGTACTCTTAATACCACCCCACTAGCACCTTGAACGCATGGAGGGGGAGGCGCAATATCACTCTAATGCAAAGGTGGAAGAGTGGCGGGAGGGGGCAGGGGTATGCAGGGGACAGGAATGGGAGCTGGAGGTGGGAATAGAAGCAGAGTGGGAGAGGGACAGGAGTTGGGAGGTGAGGGAATAGGAGCAGAGGGGGGTAGGGGCCGAAGGGTCTATAATCACTAGATCACACTGCCCTCCAGAACCTGGAATTGAACCCAGGATTCCTGCATCTCAACCCTCCTCTGCTGTCAGCAAACAGCTATGAATTCTATTAGCAAAATGTCTGACTCTTCCCCTGTAATGGCTGGTCCCCATAAAGGATACCAATCTACTAGTGCTACCAGTTACTCAGTTATCTCAAATGGTAGAGATCTTTGTTGTGGATCACAATATTGAGATCCTGTATATGTCCCATGGGGGGTGGGATCAAGATGATTCCACTTGGTGGACTTTCTATTTTTTTTTTTTTTACTTTGCTCTTTTGAAAAACAAAACAAAAAACACCATGCAACCTTAATTCAGCCCTTCTCCCCCACCCCCATTGTGTGTGTGTGTGCACATTATAATACAGTTTGTAATTACATGTTCTCATATAATTCCTGCAGTCCCCTTTCTCATTCAGAGCAGGGTATTGACAACGCTCAAGGAATGGGTCACAGTTGCGTAATGAAGAAATCTATTGTCTGTAGGACCCCTGCCTCCTTTGTTACAGAAGTTAGAAGGTATGTAGTGTATGAGGCAGAGGGTTTTAGAAAGGTAAAGGATGATCTTATGGTTAAAGCAGTTAAATGCTAGCTGAGAGAATTGGATTTCATTCCTGTCTCTGCCAGAGTTCCCGTGTGATTCTGGGCAAGTCACACCCAGCTTTTCAGAGATAGTCATCGATCGAAGACAAACTCTAATATAGAATCCCCCCATGTTGGATGTAACACTGTTTGAGCTAGGACATTGTCATCTACAATATTTAGAAATTCAGAGGATGTTTCAATACCGAGAGACCATTCATAGAGAGATCATTGCTGCTCAAAGGTTCAGAGCTATGAACAGAGGCAGCCAAATACAGGATTTCCAAGGGAAGAGCTGCGGACTCAGTGATTGGAAGTATGCGGTAGTGGGGCTAGGTGAGAGGTGCGTTTGGTCAATCTGCTGTTTGATTGATGGGTTGTTCACTGTTACAGCTGTGCTGCGGGTGACCTATGTGCACCGCTCAGTTACCAAGTTGCAGGCAGGAGACAAGTAGCAGAGTCAGGGTCAAGCTGGCTTAGGATACCAGGGTCAGGCCCCAGCTACAGACAGGAGACAAGTAGTGGAGTCAGAGACGAATCGAGGTCAGACGCTGGAGTCTGGGGTTCACAGCAAAGCAAGGTTTGGCACAGAAGCAAGCAGGCAGTCTGCAGGAGTTTTGCCTGGGAGTTCACTTAGGGGGAGCTCCCACAGAGTTTTTGCCTTTCAGGCTTCTGTGAGCGGTAATTACAACTTCTGAAGAGGCTCTTAGAAAGAAGACAATATGGATAGTGAGTGATCAGCTGTTGTGATATGCACAGGATGTGCCATGTTTGTCTTTCTCCCAGAGGATAGAAGTGACTTCATCTGTACGAAGTGCGAGCTGGTCTCCATATCAGAAGAGAAGGTTAAAGGACTAGAGACCCAAGTATTAACCTGCGTTGCATCAGAGAAAATGAAGACTTTCTGGATAGAAGTCAGCGTTTGGTACTGCAGGCACAGCATGCAGAAAATCAGAAAGGACAGTGCAGAATGGGGAAGAAAATTGGCAGCATGTGACCTCTGGAAGAAGAAAGAGAGAACCCATGTACCTCCAATGCAGATAGAAATAAGAAACCATTTTCAGGCTCTCTGCACAGGTACTATGGAAGACTACTGGTTTGGAAGAGTCACCTGAGGGAAGGGATCAGAAGGAGACCCCATCGACCAGGAAGCATGGGATGCACTGTCCTAGGGATGGGGGTTCCACGACAACCACTCCCAAGAGGAGGAGACGGGTGGTGGTGGTCGAGGACTCCCTCCTAAGGGGAACGGAGTCATCCATATGCCCTCCAGACTGGGAAACTCGAGAAGCGTGCTGATTGCCTGGAGCTAGAATTCAGCATGTGATGGAGTGTCTGCCGAGACTGATCAAGCCCTTGGACCACTACCTCTTCCGACTTCTCCACGTGGGCACCAATGATACTGCCAAGAATGACCTTGAGCGGGTCACTGCAGACTATGTGACTCTGAGGAGAAGGATAAAAAAGAGTTTGAGGTGCAAGTTGTGTTCTCGTCCATCCTCCCTGTTGAAGGAAAAGGCCCAGATAGGGACCATTGAATTGTGGAGGTAAATGCATGGTTGCACAGGTGGTGTTGGAAAGCGGGCTTTGGATTCTTTAACCATGGGATATTGTTCCAGGAAGAAGGATTGCTAGGAAGAGATAGGATCCACCTAACAAAGAGAGGGAACCTAGTGAGGAGGGCTTTAAACTAGGTTTGCCAGGGGATGGAGACCTAAGCCCTGAGGTAAGTGGGATACCGGGAGGAAACACAAGGAGGAGGGTGCAACAAGGGAGGCCTCCTGATTCATACTGAGAAAGTAGGGCAATCGGCTAGTTATCTTAGGTGCCTATTTAATGCCAACAGATCCCGTCGCCGGGCGGGATCAAACTGGGGACCTCTGGAGCTTAGTACATGAGCCTCTACAGCATGAGCTAAAAGCCAACTGCCTGTTAGTTAAGGCTGTAGAGCAGACCCATTTTATCTCTCTCTCTAAGTGGTCTCGGTGCCACTAGATGGGACAGAACACCACACCCAGGAGGTGTGTGGGTTACATACTTCCCCTAGCTGAGGAAGCGCATCCCGAGCTTCAGAGTCTTCCCAGCTGAAATCCCGGATGAGCAGGGGGGGTTGGGGGTTCTGAGGGGGGCAGTCGGGGGCGGGAAGTAGGAGGGAGTGGATGGGGGCGGGGCTAGGGCAGGGCGGGAGCGGGGCTAGGGCAGGGGCGGGGCTAGGGTGGGGCTCCCTGGGTGCACACCCTAATGAAATGTGCTGCGCACGCCTATGATCTACAGTGCTCTAGTCTGCTGCACACGAACTGGCTGTGTGGGTCACAGAGTACAGTAACTCCTCACTTAACGGTGTAGTTCTGTTCCTGAAAAATGCGACTTTAAGTGAAACGATGTTAAGCGAATCCAATTTCCCCATAAGAATTAATGTAAATGGGGGGTTAGGTTCCAGGGCAGCTTCCCCTACTCTGCAAGCACCGGGGTGGGGGGCTCAACCCTCAGCCCGCCCACTCCATCCCTTCCCCCAAACCCCCACCCTTGACCTGCCTCTTCTCCCCCCCACCTCCTCCCCCTTTACTTCGCACGCTGCGTCCTGGCTCCTCCCCCTCCCTCCCCTCCCTTCTAAACGCCGCAAACCAGCTGATTGCCACGTTTGGGAGGCAGGGGAAGGAGGGGGAGCCTGCGCGCCGAGTCCTCGCTCCTCCCCCCTCCCTCCTGCCTCCAAAACGCTGCAAGCCAGCTGATTGCCGCAAGGCGGGGGGAGAAGGGGGAAGGCGCTGATCCGCCGGGTCTGCCAGCGGGCGGGAGGCGCTGTGGGGAGTGGGGTGCGTAGGGAGGTTGCCAGCTGTGGAGAAAGCAGGCAGCCAAACAACATAAAAGTGGAGCATTGCACAACTTTAAATGAGCATGTTCCCTGATTGATCAGCAACGTAACAACAAAACAACGTTAACTGGGACGACTTTAAGTGAGGAGTTACTGTCTTTAATGCAGGGCCCACACAGCTAGTTAGTGCACGGCACGCTACAGCACTGGAGATTTGCACCCCAGCTTACTGCGCACTAACTCTCTGTATAAACATGCCTTAGTATAGAAAGTCAGTGGTTTGCAAACTACAGAGGCATAAACAGATGCAGCAAACAGGAGATGACAGACAAAAAGGAACTGATCACCAAACTGAAAATTAGTGGTCGCTTAGGTACAAGCGATAAGGAGCGGATCACATGTGTAACGTATAACCAGAAGAAATGCCAAACCAGTAATATATATACTTGGTGCTTTAAAAACACCAATTTCAAAATCTGAAAATATTCATGAGCCAAATCAGCTGGGAGGAAGAATTGAAAGAGAAAAATGTGAACGTTTCTGCATATGCAGTCCACTGTTTTAGAGAAAAATGGCTTATTACTGCTTCCACGTACTGCAGTCACTCTTCCATGTCACTGGTACTGCTCTATGCTGAAGTACAAACCCTGCTATCGATGATGTGAGAGAAGGGGTGAGACAGTTGGTTGCACACGATAGAATTTGTTTTGTTTGTCTTTTATTTGAAAACAACAACAACAAAGCTTATTGGAAAACCAATTTTTTCATGGTAAATTCCTTCGGAAAAATGACCATTTGATATTTGTTGACCAAAAAATGGTGGATTTTCTGTGGGAAATTTCCTTTTGACTAGAATTTTTCATTTAGTTTTGTAATGACATTTTAAAATGAAAAAATGGTTTGGCTTAAAGTGTCATTTTGGTTTTTGGAAACCAAAACATTTCCGGTTCCATTTTCAGTTTTGTGATTTTCATGGTTCCCCCCATTTTTTCGTACACAATACGGTCACACAATAGTTTCTGATGTCTCATTATATTTGTCTCAGGCACTGCTAAGTTTCTCTGCCGCTCACTTCAGAAAACTAATTGTGCTCCAGGCACATGACTTACCTGCTTTAAAACAGGGGATATTCATGGTCTTGTTTGTGAATAAACAGAGGCTTTGGGTTTTGTTCTCAAAGGGCAGTAATCCCAACCCTGCATCAGTAAAGTTCTGGTTCAGCGCCATCAAACCCAGCTGGGTTGTCTGATTCCTAATACTCTTAGCTAGAGGTACTTCACTGCCGTACACCATGCTGGCATCCAAGAATGAGGTGATCGCATTGATCTGCTCTCGCATAAATGTTCTGGCATTGCACACTGGAGCTGTACGGACGAATGGCATACAAGTATTTGGGTCCTTAATTCGTGGATCATCAGGGGGAATCTGTAGAAAACAAAAGAGAATTTACTCCCAATTTAAAGTGTCGATGTGTTGATAAAGATTGAATTTTTTTAAAAGATATTCCCTAGTTCAAACGGAATTATTCTAGGGAAGCACTGTGGACTATGCTATATAGGAGGTCAGACCAGATGCTCAGAATACCCCCTGGCCTTAGAATCTATGAATCTAGGAATGTTCCAAACGCATTATCTATTCTTATTATGTATTAAAATAGCGACGGGAATTCACAGATTGGATCAGACCCAAGGTACATCTAGTCTAATGTCCTGTCTCTGACAGCGTTCAGTGGCAGATGATTCAGAGCAAGGTGCCATGAACCCTGCAGTAGGCAGTCATGAGATAATCTGCCCCCAAGAAGGTCTCATTCTAATCCCTAATAGTAAAGGATCTGGTTTAAAATGGTTTAAATAGGTTTAAAATCTGAAGTAGGATTTTTAGAACCCTGTCAAAAATTGTATTAGCATTAGCTATTCTAACTCTGGATGCTCTTGTTATGCGTATCCCTCTTTGTATCTTGCTACATTCGTCATCTAGTATCAGTGAGTTCCACAGTCTATTGATATATATAAGGCCCTTATATTTTTTCTCTCATATTCTCCATCCCATTCTTTATGCATTGTACCAGCATGTTGGCTTTTTTGACCACAGCTGCATATGGAGCAGAGATTTTCATTGAAATGGCCACTGTGATACCCAGGTTCTTTTCCTGATTTATAAAAATATTCCCTACACCCCCACCCTCAAACCACCCAATTAAACCAAACAAAAAGCCCAACTGTGCTAAAAGAACATGATTTCGATCACAAAGTCAAGCACTCAAAAGTTAGGAAATGACAAATGTTATGGCTGCTCTTAAGTCTGCCTTTTGTGTGTCCATTCTGTGCACTAAACCAATCCTCGAAAAAATAGTAAATAATCACATAATAAAAGACTGTAGCATGATCCAGATGTGCCAGGGGACAGAATAAAGGTTGATTGGACAACCTGAATTCTGGCATTTTTAAACTTTGGAATGCTTGACTTTGCAATCTAAATAGTGTTCCTTTAATGGAGTTTTTGTGCGTGTAATTCCCTGTCTTCTTTTGCTTGGGGAAAGTGCTGGGTGCAGCATCCCAGTCTGTCTCTCCCCACAATACCCTGTTACAGCTGATAGACATTCCCAGTACGGTGGCTACCATTTCTTTGGCAGCAGTGTGGGCCCAGCCTTAGAATGTGGTGTTCAGTTAGTTTTTCACCAGGCTACCAACATTTTCCTGCAGAATGAAAGTGACAGAAGGGAAATGGTCATTTTCTCAACTACTTATTGTATCTCAGCAAACCGTGAACAGAATTCCACAGGGCAATGAACAGGCACTTCTCTGGCTCCAGGGCTTTCTCTGTGCCAAATTTCAAAAACCAACTGCAAACAATGGAGCTAGTAGAGCTTCTCACAAAAGATTGCAAGAGTATTTTATGATGGAATTGTTATGGAGTGTACCAGCCCCATACTGGGGAACCAAGGGTTAAGGAGTAGCTCTGGGCCCAGAAGGCCCAGCCCAGCTGCGCCTGCAGGGCCTGCTCACCATGAAGGCCAAGCTCAAAAGGGAGCATCCCAGTTGTGTCAGGGTGGATAAAGCAAGGGAACAATCCTACATTGTTAGCTCCTACAGAGAGGCTACAGGAGCACCCACTACTTGGACCAGACCCATCTGCTGAGCCACTGGGGGCCCTGGGGAGCAGTGGGCTGCAATTGATGGAGAAGAGTCTTCGGATCAATGCCAGGGAGAATCGCCAATCAGTGAGTCCATAAGCAGACTCTGCTGTGACTTTGGAGGGGCAGAGGCTGGGGTAGGAAGTGACCCAGAGAGCAGGGTTGGGGGTGTCTGCCCCAGGCTGTGTATCTGACCTGGCAGTCACAGGGCCCCCGATGGAGCAGGGAGGGCCCGGGTTCCCCTACCACACACCCCGCAGACTCTCACCATTGGCTTGTCATGACTGCAGACTGCAGACACCAATCCCCATGAACAAGAATCCCCAACCTAAATATAGAGGTTACTACCATAGGTATTGGAACTAGGGGTGCTGCCGCATGAACTGACTCGAAGTGGATTCCATTATATACAGGGTTTACAGTTTGGTTCAATGGCTTTCAGCACCCCCACTATAAAAAATGTTCCAGCCCCCCTGGTTACTACCAGCTCCCCCTGTAATATACAGTGTCCTAGGTGCTTTAGGCTCTTTGAAGAATTCACAACTTTGATCTTTCTATTTTTTCAACATAAAGTTTTTCTGGGTCTAACCTTATACACTATTCTCAGTCTTAGAGCCCAGGGACTGCTCCTGCAAGGTGGAAAAGACTCAGGGTTGTAGTTGTACCTGAATTGGGAAGCAAGGTGGCTCAAAGGTGCAACTGGTCTCGCAATGAACTTCTTTATTGTTGATTTTTGTAGTAGTGAAAGGGGCTAAGTCCAAATCGTGGTCAACCCACTGACCCCACTGCATGAAGATGAGAGAGCGCTCCTGGTCTTGGGTGACATTCTCATTGGCTGTGTGAATTATTTCATTTGACACTTTTCGAACCTGCACAGAATCAGAACAAAAACATTTATGATTGAGACACAGTGAATGTGTTTAGCTCCATAAGGGAAGTGCTGTAACTTTAGGGTAGCCTGCTACAGACCTCAGGAAAGTATCAGACACAACACTTTATATGCTGAAAGTCAATTTCTGAACATCAGTGATGAAGTTCAATGAACTGCCAATGATGCAGCCTTCATCGCCCACTTGACTCTTTAAA